TTCAGCAAATTTTGATTGTGTCATATTAAAACGATCTAAAGTCTTTCTTATCAAATCTTTTTGAGTGATATATAGTTCATTTTCATACTTTTTAATTTCTAATCCTAAAAACATTAACTTTGAATTTTCAAATTCTTTCATTTTAAAGTCTTTAGAAAGCTCTAACTTTATATAATCCAAATTTTGCTGATGCTTAGAAAATAAAATCACATCATCAACATAAACTAATAAAAACGTTACTTGGTTAAAGTAAAAACATGGATCTTTCTTTGATCTTTGTAAACCTAAATCAGTAAGCTTTTTATGAAATAAATCGTTCCAAGTTTTTGGTGCCTGTTTTAAGCCATACAAAGATTTTGTTAACTTACATATAAGTTTAGGATTTTCATTCAAACCTTCTGGTTGTTTCATAAATACTGGATTTTGAAGAGTTCCATAAAGAAATGCACAGTTAACGTCTAGTTGTTGAACATATAAATTCAGTTCTAGGTAGAGTGATAGTAAAACACGAATTGTAGCTAGACGAGCTACTGGTGCATATACTTCTTCATCTAATGCACTTTGCTTAAAACCACGTGCCACTAGTCGAGCCTTTTTCACCACAACACTATTGATTATTTTTTCACGAAACACCCACTTTGAGTCTATAATTTCTTCATTTTCTGGTAGTTCAACTAACTGCCATGTTTCTCTTTCTTTGAGTGAGTTGAGTTCTTCATCAATTGCTGTCTTCCAATTCTTGTCTTTTATAGCTTCCTCAAACGACTCTGGTACTTCAGATAGTAAATTTCCAGTTGTTAAGGCAGCCATTAAGTTGGATTCAAAATCTACATCATAATTTTCAAGGTATTTGGGTTTCTGTCTTTTTCTTGTACTTTTTCTTATTTCATTAGTTATATCTTGGTCTTCTTCACTTGAACTATTATTTTTCTGATCTTCTATGTTTTCTAAGTCTACTTCTTGATCTATGTCTTGAACTGTTCCAGATATTGTTTTTATTCTCAACTTTTCATCAAAAATTACATCTCTTGATGTTATTATTTTCTCTTTCTTAGGATCCCATAGTCTATATCCATTCGCTGTATATCCCATTAATATCATTTTTCTTGAATGTGCATCTAATTTTCCATGTCTTTCTTCCTTAGGAACATGTACATATGCATCACATCCAAAAACTTTTATTTTATCTAAATTTAGTTTTCTTTGATACCAATGTTCAGCTGGGGTCTTGTCAGCTTTTAGTACTGTTGTGCGTGTTCTGTTAATCAAATATATTGCTGTCAATATAGCTTCACTCCAAAACTTTTTATCAATATTGGCTTCATATATTAAACATCTTGCACGTTCCATTACTGTTCTGTTATACCTTTCTGCTATACCATTCTGCTGAGGATTATAGGGTATGGTATATTGTACTTCAATTCCTTCTTTTTGACATAATTCTTTAAAATTCTTTGATATATACTCGCCACCATTATCACATCTTAGATGTTTTATGTTACAACTAAATTTTGTCTTGATCATGGCTAAGTATGTTTTAAATTTTTCAAATACTTCATTTTTATGTGTTAACGTATAACCTACAGTAAAATGTGAATAGTGATCGATAAACAACACAAAATACCTTTTTCCATCATGAGATATAGGTGTTATCGGTCCACACACGTCTGATGACACTACTTCAAACATTCTTTTCGGTTTTCTTTCCTCTTCCAGACTCCTATAAGATAACTTCGTTTGTTTTCCCTGTAAGCATGTTTCACATATCGATTTTGTAGGATACATTGAACTGTGACCCATTCTACGATGCATTAAATCATTATCTACATCTAATAAATTTACTTCATTCATCTGTATTTCAAAATTGATATAGTATAGATTTCCTACTAGCTTACCTTGTGTTATCTTCTTTTCTTGTTTCATAATACTTACAATTCCATTCTCAAATATTACCTTTAGTTTGCTTTGTTCTATTCTTTTTACTGACATTAGGTTGTGTGATAAATTTCTACATACAAGTACATCTTTCAACTTTATTTTCATACCATTTGTATTCAATAAACAAAGATTTCCTTGCTTATATGCTTTAATCACTTCTCCTTGTTTGGCTACTTTAATATCAAGATCTACATTTATGATATCTGTCAAAAATTGTTCTGCCTTTGAGGTAATTAAGTGATTTGTAGCACCACTGTCAATAACAAAAGATATTTCGTTCATTCGGTTGGAATTTATGACATTTTCTGATGATAAAAATGCTATGTCTTCATTTTCATCTGTTTCTGCCACGTTGCCTACAAACTTTTGCTGTTTTTCTACTCTTTTCTTCTTACAGTCTACTCGTTTGTGTCCTTTTTCGCCGCAGTTATAACATTTAAAAGGAAATTCTGACTTTTCTGAATAGTTTTCTCTTGTTTTTCCTTGATACTTTTTGAAATTTTTCTTCTTACTTACGAAAGCTTGTACTTCTTCTCCACTTTGTTCTTCTCTTTGCTTCTCCTGTCTTGATTCTTCCATTAACAGTTTGTTCTTCACAAAGTCTAGAGTTATATTTGTGTTTCCTTGACAGAAAACTACGTCAATAGCTGTTGATACTACTTGATAGCTTTCGGGCATTGCTGCAAGTAACTGGGTTATGATTTCTGAGTTATCAATTGATCCACCGCTGTTCTTGATTTCAGTAATCGTCTTTTCAAAATCAAATAGGAAGGTACTTAGTTTTTCTTTTCCTGTAAACTTCATGTTACGTAACTTTCTTTGTAACATTATTTGATTTGCTATTCCTTGTGTTTTAAATGTTCCACTTAATTCTTCCATAATTTCTTTGGCTGTTCTTTTGGATTTTACCATTTCTAATACGTTATCTGCCAGAAATTGTACGATTATATTTCGTGCTTTTACGTCATTCTTCTTGAAACTTGCCAAATCAGCTGGATCTTGTGGAGGTTCTGTTTCAATTACTTCTAATACTCCATGCTGTTCGAGACACAACTTTACTCGAAATTCCCAGTTGGAATATCCATTTCCATCAAAAGGTTTTACATTTGCAACCTGCGAAATCGATGCCGCCATTTTGTCTTTTTACCAGAACTTTCTTCCGTTAGCTACTTCCCAATAAAACCTTTAATTTCGTTCACTTTTTCCGATGTTTGGGTGCCTGGGCCCATAACCTGTTGAATGGCACAGTCAAACTCAGTGAATCGAAAGAAAACGTATTTATTTATAGCTTCTAATTGGTTTAACAATAAACAATAAGTTCTTCAGACTGTGTTCAGACTACGACTTCTCGCGTTCTTTTTTTTAATGTTCTTTTTACATCCACAGATTACTAACTACTAATCTGGTTATGCAACCAGTAATTCTTAGTATTGTCATCAACAGTATAAAGGTAGTAAATCTAGATGGAAACTGTGGCAGAACTTAAATTAACAGTGACACTATCGCGATTTATCGAAAAAGACTCTAAAATAGTTGGTTGTGTAGCGTGCGGTAGATCTCGGCAAAAATTGAGTGAAATAATGGAACAACTTTTCGCTAGTAAGTGACTATATAATATACATACGTGTAGTAAACCGATCATTTATGAAATTCACTTAAATTAACTAAATTATATATTTTTCTTGCATTTTAGCTTTTATTTATTACTTGTCAAAGATTAGATGTCAAAGAATTTAGATACGTTAATTTGACTTACCTGCTTCAATAGCGTATCGGATGTTTGTCTTAATAAATACTTATTATAACTTATCTATTTTTATTAGAATTATATATTTTTATAACAATTTTAATAACTACCAACATTTATTCACAACGTAAAATAAAACAACAAATTATTGAGTCTACCCCACGTCTACCCTACATCATAGTTTTACATTTTTTATATAAAATTAGAACGACACTGATAAACCGAAATTTAAGTCGGTCATATTTGAGGCCCATCGCGGTGTACCTAAAATTTTTGATATGCTCCTTCCTTAGTCTTCTTATTCAAAGACCCTATCCAAAAAATATCAATCTCTAAACAGTCGGTTACCTTTGGAAAGAGAAAAGCCAAATTATCAATTGCGTAACGGGAATGTATTAACGTAAAATTACGGCTATAATTAACGACCCTATTGTAATTTACGGGTCCGTGACAAAGCTTATTGTTTTTGAATGGAATAGTTTCTGTTTGGATTCCAATTTAATTCGTATTACGTACTTGCGCCCTAATCCTTATTGGTTTGTACTGGTTGCGGTTTTCGATCCCATCTGCACCCTGCCCGAATAGTAAATGGGCCTCTCATTTACATCGGTATAACAAGAAATTGCCCGATAACTATTCGATTTTTCGCTGGTTGACATCGTTTACTTCAGGTACTCTACAAAGGCTGCAAACCTATCCATATTGTAACGATGTTACTTAATTTTTGTGATAATTAATTTGTAGTGATTAAATTAATTAGCTTTTAATTATCAAATTATTTATAAAATCATTATTTTGTTAAAAGCAAGTAGTAGAGTCTTGGTTCGTATCGATCGATACTCGCGGGGATACGGCGCGTGCCGTTGTCCCCACTGTGTGCTCCTGTCTCCACCATAGAGAAAGTTAATAGTTTAGAGAGTGGTGAATCGCGTGGTAAAATGTTGGGAGATTGCGCTTTTAGCGCCCTCTACTTGGCTACAGGTACGAACTATGAAAGAGCGGGAGATTTAAATTATTATTATACTTATTATTTTTAAGGCAATTGTGTCTTAGAGTGCCCTTAACAAAAACAGTGATATAAATGGAGATACCTACTCAAATTTTATATTATCATGATACTAAAGGATATAAATACAGCATTTATAATCCTTTTACACCTTTTTATTCAAAGTCTTACACGCTAATATAAAATTTGACTATCTCCATTTACTTCACTATTTTTGGTTAAGGGCACTCTTAATTTTAATTTTCCTTTTTTTATGGGAAAATGATTAAATGGGAAGAATTGAATGGGAATGGAAAGAATGACCAATTATTGTATTTTGTATTAATTTATAATACCCCTATTCTACTAAATATCTAGCTACATTGTACTTACAGTTAAATAGCTACATTGTACTAGTTATATACATATTTACAGTTTTATGATGGCTATTATTTCTTTTCATCGTGCTATCAATTGATTCGCTCCGACTTGAGTACTATACCTCGAGATGGCTCCAGGAATTATTTACCTTTACAGGCCTAGAATATGAAGATTCACAGTAGAATTTTTGGTTTTACTGCCTATTAGTAACAAACCTACCCCCCTACATCAAGGGACATACAATTATGCCTTGTTCTCGGCCATGATATTCCTTCCATTCTATATCCAACATCCAACTTAGCAGACCTTCTGGTTCACAACAGGGCCTAGACTGGTCGGATGATATTTTAACAGAATAGCACTTGATATCTTTTTCACACTTTCATTTAATAATTAAATAGGAGGGCTGGATGGTATAATTTCTAGAAAGAATAGCCAGTGAAATAAAAACTTAGGCATGGACATTACCTTTCTTACCTTTGTCTGCTATTTTTTAATAAAAAACAACTGTTTAGTTTGCAGAAAAAATAAAATTAACAATCAAAAAATTTCTTAAAAATGATCAAGCCTTTGTACTACGCCGCGTGCCGCTTTTGAACAAACAACAAACAAAAGAATGACGTTAGCGGCGTTGCCAATGTCAATTTTCTAAACTACCCAAAAATCTAAATTAAATTCGCCAATTTGGGGAGAAAAATGTCCCGATTCACCAAAAATTCCCCATATGATTATTTTAACAAAAAAAAAATAATTTTAATAAAAAATACAATATTTATTATATATGTTAGAGAGATTAAACTGTAAATTACCTCCTTGTTTTTAATCCCTTCCCTAGTAGTCATTAAATAATTTGAGGTCACTAAATTTTCTTTCAACTGAAGCATTTGCAAAGGGAAGCACAAGTAAAAAGCAGATTATAATTTTTAAGTTGGGAAAGATATATCGTCCCGCTCCATTTTTAAAGCTAAAAATTTTACGCCATTTTCAATCAGCAATAAAATGTTGAAACTCCCCTTATTTTCGCCCCCTATTGCTAAAATCCCCACAAAACTCCCAATCGGCTCCGGATTCCCCAAAATTTGGGGAATTCCCCGCAAATTGGCAACGCTGGAGGTTAGCGTGTTCTTTCTGAATATGCTAAGACTAACGGACTAGTGTCGAAACACAGATAGCTAGATGGACGTATTTCGGCACTTGCGAAATACGTCCCTTATATAAATTATAAGGCCGATTATTATATACAGCCAAACCACAAACCATTCGATAGTTGAAATCATTCATTCATTAACCATTCGATAGTCTAATTCATTCGATAGTTCCCATCGCTACTAATAATCGATCGTTTCCATACTTAACAGCGACCCTGTATATTACGTTCTAGTGGGCCGATTTTGATGATCTTTTAAGCAGTTTGTAGCTAAATTATTTTACTTTTTAGTTAGACCATCTGTCAATTACACGAGGGAACAAAAAATGTATTATTAAAATGTTGTTTTGGTGAAAGCTTGGAACACCCTGTGAAAAAAGTTAAAAAGGGAATTCATTATAGAATTTACGAAGAAGCAATATAATTTCCAAACTTTAATGAAACATCAGACAGGGATAAAGTTAGAATAATAGGTTATTAATAAGTATCAAAGAGTTCACAAATGTCGTTACAACAAATGGAAGACTATGCGAATGAGAATTTGGAATGTTTATCGTGATATTAACAAAGAGTTATTGTTACGAACCTATTGTTTCTCCGCATAATTGTATTCGGTATTATTCAGGAAAAGTTTTGAGTTCTTGAGTTATATATAGAGGGGACTTAAGGGAGATTAATACTGATATTTGAACTAAAGCACCTGGCAATATTTTATGAAAAAAATAATTAATTAATACGACTCTGGTTTCCTTTCTATCTTGTATTAAATTTTAGATTTAATTGTTACGTTTTTCGTCGGTTCCGTGTGAATAGAAAGTCACAATTTATTTAACACTAATTAACAAACAAATAAATCTTCTCTGTTTAAGTACAAAATACTTACTGAATACCAATTTGGATTTCTGAGCAACAAGTCCACAAATGACGCTATGTTTTCCCTCCTTAATAAAGTTTACTCCAGCCTAAACAACCATCACTCTACAGCAACAATTTTCTGTGATTTTTCTAAGGCGTTCGATTGTGTAAATCATAAGATCCTAATTAATAAACTGCAGCACTATGGGTTCAGGGGATCACCTCTCGAATGGTTTAAGTCGTATCTGAGCAACAGAAGTCAACTTGTGAGAGTGGATACCACGTTGTCTTCTAGCAAGCCAATAGAATGTGAAGTACCACAAGGCTCAGTACTAGGCCCTATTTTGTTTCTTCTTTTTATTAACGACATTGCTAACATAAACATCAGTGGCAAAATATGTCTTTTTGCGGACGACACTAGCTTCACTTGGAGCAACAAGGACATCGCGGCACTTCATAGGATTATATCAAATGACTTAATCACCATTAAATCTTGGTGCGATTCGAACCTCCTCAACATTTCTAAAACTAAGGCTTTGTCGTATAAAAACTCGTTGCAGCCTTTTGTACTTGACAACACCACCATTGACGTCGTAAAATCCGTAAAGTTCTTAGGGCTTGTTGTGGACAATTCTCTGAAATGGGACATACATATCGAAGCTTTGTCGAAAAAATTGAGCTCTGCCTGTTTTGCATTAAGGTCTGTTTCTAAGGAGCTTAACTTGTCAGTGGCTAGAACTGTTTATTATGCACTTTTTGAGTCGCACCTCAGGTATGCCCTTCCATTCTGGGGTACGTGTTGTGCGGCTCAATTTGACCGCATTTTCAAGCTCCAGAAGAGAGCTGTTCGATATTCACTGGGACTAAACAGCAGAACTCATTGCCGGGGCTTTTTTAGAGAATTAAAAATATTGACTCTTCCTTCCTTATTTATATTTGAATCCGTTTGCCTAATACGTAAACATGTATCAGCTTCTCAAGAAAGGCCATCTCACACTTATCCACTCAGGAACGCGGAGCAAGATCTTTATCTACCTACCCCACGCTCAGAGTTAGTTAAAAGTTCAATATTATACAACTCGAAAAAAATGCACAATCACCTGCCATTTGAAATCAAATCCATAACATCATTTTTTTCATTTCGCAAAGCATTGAACTCTTATTTACTAGACAAGGCTTTCTACGCCGTAAATGAATTATATTTGAATTGAAAATCGAATTTGATCTTGAAAACACTGGTCTAATGTTTGCTATTGCTATATTTACTAATGACATCGAAATTAATTTATTTAGAGGTCATTGATATTTTGCTATAAACTGGCTAAATATTTTTGAATATTATTTTAATTTTTTTTGTTCTTTGACATTGTAAACATTTATATATGTTTATTTTAACAATAAGACTGACAATATTATTTGTATAATGTTTTGTATTATCTTTTGTTTGTTTGTTTGTGTACCTTGTTTTTTTACTTTGTTTGTTAGTTTACCTTTGTCCACAAATTGAAAAATTTTTTGACAATAAAGGCATTTATTTATTTATTTAATAACGATTAAAAAAAACTTAAAGAACTATTTATAACTTATTTACAATTTATCTAACTATTTATCTAACAGGAATTTATTTTGAATTAGCGCGGCGATTGTAACTGTACGCGTCGACCGGTTGTTTTTCTCTGTCCTTCTCAGGCCTCAGGCGTCTGCTTATATATGAGAGCAACAGACAATCCAAATTTGTCTCGACTTATTCTCTCTCATTCTTATTCAGTTCACAGGGGTCCGCAACACTGCCCCCTTCTTAGGTACATGCTCGTCCCGAGATGTACACGCTGAATGAAGGTATTTGCAAAGCTGGCCCCTGGTACATTGAGAAGTCTGATAGAAAAAACAGTTTACAGTTTTCTCGCCCGATCTCAGCTTTGGGTTGTAGCAGCAAACGAGGATCTCGATTCCCGTAAATCTAAACAAGACTTCAATCATGTTCCGGATTGTACGCCAGCTCAAACCATCGAGTCCACACGCCAGCTTCGGAATGGCTAATCGTGCAATGTTGTTGTTTAGCAGGGCTTCTCTCAGTTCAATCAGGGTCTTCCATAGATTGAGATAAGTCGGCTTACTCGGGGTGTATTAAGCCATCTGCTTCGATATTATTTCTAATAAATTATAAAGTATAAAATATAGCCAGTCGCCGAAAGAAATGTAATTTCGAGCAGAGGAAAACAGATCAAGACGTCTAAAAACTCTTTGTTGTAAAATTTAATCTTATCAAAGTCGAGCCGGAGATACGGAGACAAAGGAAACGAAAAATTAGAGCTTAAAAAGAACAAACCGCTTTATCTTTTTCCGTTGAAATTATAACAATTATTTTATCGAGAGCGTTTTAGTCCGCCCGGCCTTTCGCATCTATGTAGTGTCTGTCGGGGCGGAGCCTTTTGAAAATCTCCGAATTCAAAGGGACGGGTGAAATTAAAAATATTTCCCGTTAGTTTAAGCCCTGATCCGAAAAAGGAATTAATAACTCGAGAAAAGATACAAAGAGAAAAACGTAAAAGGGGGAAACACGTAGCTGTTATTAATACTGAAAAATTTAACTCTCTCGAGTTTTCTTGTAATGCTTTTAGGGTTATTTTAATTTTAATTTTCCGAGAGCAAGCGTTTTTGAATTTATTCTTTCTAAGAGAAAGAAAAAAAAACGTACTTACTGCTCTAAGATTATTTACTTTTGTGTATCACAAAAAGGGAAATGTAAAATGGCCCAGTGCAATTTCTTTATACTAAACGAGAACAATAGCTTTGTTCCTGGTTACTTTACGAACCGATCCTGAGCTAAAAGCGAACCAATTTAGTATTGTTCAAAAAAATAGACACAAAGACTACAATAATTCGAATTAACCACATAGGTAATTTAATTAGAAAGATAACTAGTTCTTTTCTGTTAATATTTATAACTATTGTAAGTCTTGTTTTCCGTTAAAAAAATTGTTTATATTAAATTGTGTTATTTTAAAAAATAATATTTTATTTGAAACTCTAATTGACTTTTCTTGGCCGCATTACAATGGAAATTATAAATTGTCGTTTCCTAGACGATGCGGTTTGCATTGTTGATGATTATTTTGACTGACGTCGACATTTATCAAAAAATGTTAAATTCAGATTATAATTGTGTGGAAAATATTTCTGGGACTGAATAGAAGGAATGAAGTATTATACAGGTGAGTGTATTTTGTTCACTCACGGGCATTACTGGGATTTGTATGAGAGTAGTTTAATATTT